GGCCATCCTGGAAATACCAAGGTCAGTCACGTGGCTATTTTGAGTATACCTGCTGTGGACTAGCAGATCATGGACCCCAAAGTGAGCCAGGGTCCTGGAAGCCAGTTCTGCTTCTCAGCACCCCCTTCCAGGTGGCTTTGAACACATGCTGACCAGCCTCTCATGACCAGCACTCATGGCTCACTGCATGACTTGTACTCAGAGGCCTGTCCTTGGATCAACAAGTTGCTATATTCAGTTGATTGTAAGTTAAAGAAATGTGGGCAAAGCAGTCACAGACAGTGTCACCACTCTGGCCAGTTGTCATTCTATATTCACCACGCCAACCTGTGGCATGAGGACCATGGTCAGGGTTGGAGAGTTGGAAGGCTGGCCTTCTCACCTGTCAGCCTCGCTTGTGGCCTCTGCTCCCACCTGGTGCCCCACAACTAAGTTTTTTCTCTGAGAACATCTCTACCGGTGATCGAAGGTCAGTGTCCACCCCAGCGCCTGTAGCAGGTGAGGCTAGGGTACAGACTATGGCACAAAGACCACATAGGGACAGGCAGTTGTATCTGAGTATCATATCTGAGTGTCATATCCGAGTGCCTGGGTGGGTGGGATTCACAGTGGAGAACTTCAGCTCTGTCCAGGCCTGCCCTTCAGGAGAAAGCATCTGTGCCCTAAAATCCTCAGCTCTAGATTCGCCAGCCAAGGTTTTACGTTTATAAAACAACTGCCCACTTATATTGAAAGCTATTCCCCAGCAGGCTTTTTGGCATTTCTAGGCTGTCAGCAAACACTGAGCATTGTATTTCTGGTATTCTGAGTATCACTTTCCTGAGCGAGGGTCCCGTGGGCTGCTGAATGCAGGACAACCTTTGGGAAATGGTCGTTCCCCACATACTGCTACATGCTGAGGTGTTTCTTCCACCCTGCCTGTAGGGATGCACCCTGGAGTCTCGGGTCCCTTACTCCATGTAGGTTTCCTGCCTCCCAGCACTTGCTCTTTTCTCCAGCTGCTACCTTGTGTCCAGCTTGTTTCCTGTCTCCTCCTGTAACCCTCGTGGCTGTCCATAGTCACTCCCACCTCCCCAGGCACTTCTGTCAGATAGGTGTCAAGCCATTGTGCCAGTGGGGCCCTGGCCTGGTGAGGGGTACAGGAGTAAATGGCCACTGCTTGCATGCCATACACACTGTCCTTGTACCATGGAACAGGGAGGCCAGAGGTGTTCCCGGTTACCCAGGGACATTGGGAACATAGAAGGGTTATGTGGACCACCCATCCTAGGCCGGGGGGCTTCCCAGTCAGGTAATAAAGGAGGGGAGCAGGGCGAGTTCCAGAACAGTAACAGAGCTGTGGCTTTTTGGTGTCCGTGGCATCAGGATTATGGAGATGGTACTGAGGAGAACCATGCCTGCTCAGAATGCAGAGCCTGGGGTGTGGAGCCCAGAGTGCAGAGCACAGGACACAGAGCTGATTCAGCCTGTGTGCGGTGCTGGGCTCATTTCCCACAGTGCTGCTAAATTCCTGGAGACAGGCCTCAGACTCTCTCTCCACCACTCCAATTCAGACTGTTCACTTTGACCCTGCTTTTTTGGGAGGCAGATTGCATTTTCACCAAAGCAAGGGCCAGGAAACCCTCAGCAGGTCACACAGTGACTTCAGCACATCTAATGATGGCAAGGGAATGATCGGGAGCTGCTCCAGCCAGCTGAGATATGTCAGGTGTGCTGGGGAATTTAAAGTGGTGTTTTTGAAGCTTCTTTTGATTTTTAAGAACTTACTGTTTTTTTTTACTTGTGCTTGGTCAAAACTGTGTGTAATAATTCCGTGAGTGATGCAGGTTGGCTGTGCTCACTGTCAGCCACAACACAGGGAAGCCCCAGAAACATCCAAGCAAAAGGCCTGAGACCCAATAAAAATGGCAGTTTGTGAAGACAGAAGGAAACATCTGGCTTGAGCAGGAGCCCAGATCTGCAACCTTACTCAAATGTGAGAATGCATTGATCACTCTGAAATGAAGTCACTCTGAAATGAAGTCACTCTGAAATCCACTTTCCAATGTTTCAAACTGGCAACAAGTCTGTTTCACAGCCACTTTTGGTACAGCGGTGGATTCCTACCAGGCCCTGTGTCCGCTGATGGTGAGTGAGCAGTTCCCCCCACAGGCTCATTGGGCCATGTCTGTACAGAGGACAGATGTCCATGTGGCTCAAAGGAGGGCCCTCCAGTGTCCGCCGTCCAGTGTTCGCCATCCCCAAGGGTTGTGTGTCACCAGCTGTAACAACACTGGGAAGAGTCATGTGTGTTGTGCTGTCCCAGGGCCACACAGCTGGAGAAAGGCATCACAGCACCACTGTGACTCTAGGGAGACACTAAGCAGGTGAGGTGGCCACATCTGTCACTCTAGTACTCAGGAGGCTGAGACAGGAGGATGGCGAGTTCACTGGCAGCCTGGGTCACACTGGGGACCCTGCCTCAGAAGAAAGGAAGGCTCCGTGGTGTCCTGTTATGGGTGTGAACTCTGCAGTCATTCTGTTCACAACAGAGAGAAAAAACTGACAACAACCAGACAGTCTGGAGAGGGGATTAGCATGGTGACCCTGCAGAACTCTACTCCTCTGTCACCATGTGATAAAAGTTTTAGAAGGCAAGAAAGAGCCGTGGAAGGTTCTGACAGTGTCTGGCCGCAGTTTCTCCCATTCCTTCCCATTCGTGTTCTGTGCTCCATGCTCCATGTCCAGTGAAGAGCCCGTTCTGCAGCAGCACCCACCCTCATTGCGGTTTGTGCTTTTGTTCACTGGACTCTTTGTGTCCAGGACAGAGTGTCCCATCACCTAAATGGACAGTCTTGTTAACAGATTAGGTGTAAGGACATTTTATCCACACTTGGGGAGAACGAGTGTGCTGAACTGCCTATGGGGCAGGGTGGATAGGTTGAGTCTAGAAGGTTGTCCATCTATTAGTGTCCTAAAACCAACTGTGATGTTTCAAGGCAAATGGAAGGCCACCAATAATGCCTGCAGTGATTAGATGTGAAGTAAAACATTAAAAAAGTGAAAGCCCTGTTGGATAAGCAGGGTTAAATGAGTATAAATGTGTTTATACCATTTGTGTAAAGCAGGTGACAATAATTTACCAATTGCTTCTGTTGGCACAAATGCCAGGGAGGCAGGAGGGCTGTGGTTCCATGTCTGTCACTTCTTGTCTACATTTACAACTTGCTTTTCTATTTATCAAGTAAAGATCCCTTTATTCTTGCTTATAAAGAATCCCGGTGTGCCAGAGGAGGGGTTTCTGACCTCTGTCCCGTCTGTGTGTGGCAGTTTTATCTCCAGTCACAGTCGTGGTTTATGAAGGCATCCTGCAGACTATAGCATGGCCAGCACGGCCCAGCATGGCTTCTTCCCTTCTTCCCTGTCCACTCAGCCACTGCTCAGACATCTGTGCTTTGTCCCTGGCTCGCCTGTGTGCACCTGGTCTTATTTTTCTCTCTTCTTTCATGATTTTTTTTGGGGGGAGGGCAGTATCAGGTAGGTGTGATTTAAGTAAAGTAATATTCCCCAGTTAGATGTACAGGAATGTGAGTTTTGAGAAGTGCCTAAGGTGCGTAACCACCGCCAGTCCCCAGGTGAGGCGCTGTGATCATGTTCTGTGGCTGCCAAAGAAGCAGAGAATAAACACATGTGACCACCAGCAGCTCGCACCTCAGTGGGTGTGGAAGGGTGGGGGTACAGGGGTGATGGGGGGGAGGGGGAGAGAGGGAGGGAGGGAGGACAAGAAGCCAGAGAGGGCAGTGTGAGTGTAAGCGAGGTTCTTAGAGGATGGGGATTTGAGTGTTGCTGTCCAAGGCCAGCAGATCTGGAAACCCACACTGAGCCCGGCGGCTGTGGGCAACACTGGAGTCAAGTTGGGAGAGCCGACCAGAGTCCAGGGCACTGTGGTGGCGATGGGCTGCGGGCCCAGCTGATGCCAAGGGTGGTCAGAAGCAGTGCCCGTCACCCATGCTGTGGCTGCTTCAACAGCGTCTCTGATGTCATCAGAATTCTCAAGTCCAACTGCTCATTTTAGTTTTCTCTTCCAAAAATGGCACCATGGAAGGGTAGGATGCAAACCACGCCTCGGTGTCACTGGAGCACAGGCAGTAGTGGCACCATGGCCTTGCTCCCTTCCAGAGCCCTGGACACCACTGTCTCCAAACACAGGAGACATTCACCTAGAGACCAAATGCAGAGTCAGTCGAGTTTCAGTGAATTTAAAATCTTGGCATGACACTGAGTTCTCTGGAATCAGATCTGAACAACACCTGAAGCAAGCTCCCGAAACCTGGAGATTCATACAGGCCACCTCCAAATGACTCATGGTTTAGGCAGAGGGGACAGGGACGTGGGACTTCACTGTGAAGTGCAGGACAACGAGGAGGCGGCCATTGCCTCACTTGACACAAAATGCTGGTGTGACTCCAGGGCCCCCACCCTTCCTCCATTGGTCAGTCACTGGCGTGGCAGCAACTGTCCCTTGTTCAGGGAAGCCTGGCCTGGCCCATGGGACTGAGTGTCCTGGTCCTTCCCGTCCAGCTCCACTGGATGGTATCTGCTGTGTTCCTAGAACAGTGGAGGGGAACTCAGGAGAGCAGCATAAGTTCAGGTTCAGGGTCCTCAGCCGGCCCAAGTCTTGTCAGCGCTGCTCCCTCACTCAACCCTGCCTGGGGATCTCGCTGCCCCCATTTCTGACTTGTGAATGTCTGCAGTTCCCTCTGGGCTTCTGTTTTCTGTGAGAATTGCCCTGTGTTTTGGAGTTTTGTATCTCCCACTACCTCTACTTCAGCCTGCTCTTTAGTTATCTGTTTCCCTTTATGTGGGCTTGGCACGGAGTGTGTCCTGCTGGCCATGAGGGTCACAGAGGGTGGGAGCGCCAAACTCAGAGGAGTAGTTGGCTCAAAACACAGTATTTTGGCAGACCCATGTTGGAGGAGTTATGGAAACACATATTCATTCAACAAACACGCATAGACCACATGTACACTGGGCACTGTAGTCACTACTTCGACTCATCAGAACAGTTGTCAGAGCAAAGTGACCCTGAGTCCATGCTGGAGACTGAGTTAGATGCTTCCCACTGCAAAGGAGGGAGGGGTGTGGGGCAGGGTGAGGCATGAGTAGCGACAAGGAGTGGGGAGCCTGCTGTGGCCAAGGCAAGGTGTTGGTGGGGTGTTAGGAGGAGAGCGAAGGCTGGAGAAGGGGTGAGAGGCCAGGAGGTTCTCTCTCCTTAGGGTTTCACCCACTTCTGAGGACATGGCATTCCCCCTCACCCGGCCTCCCCTGGCCTGGCCTCCCTCTCTGTGCTCACTGGGTGTTTTCAGAAATGGGAGGAATGGGAGCAGGATCCCGATCCCAGTGCTGGCACTCAAGGGGCACTAGGGCCTTTCAAAGGCAGGGAGGAAGACACTGGGATCTGAGCACTGTTTGAAGACACCTGCTGCCACCCTGAAATCTTGTGTTCTCTTCCTTTAGGGTTCTTGCTATTTAAAGATTTTTGTTTGAATGAGATTAATGACGCTGTTCCTCAGGTGAAGTTTTATGAAGAGGTAAGAAACAACTTTTCCTGATGCTTTGTTTCAAAAGCATATTTAAATTGAAACCCTGCTTTGCAAGATGTTAAGAGTACTAAGTGTTATGAATTTAGAAATTCATCAGAAGTAATTAGCAGGGCAGAATGTGACATGTAATTTATTAGAGCTAAGCACACCTGCAAAATGCAGGCATGTTCCAAAAACCACCTTCCCTGTGGCCTTGGAGCTGGACGGGCACTGTAGGGATGAGGATGAGCCATTGGGGCGCCCAGGGCACCGGCCAGTCTGTCCTTGGTGATGAGAGCTGAGGCCACCAGCCACTGCTGGGCTTGAAAGAGGAGTGAGCAGAAGTTCCCTGTCATGCTGACGTGCCAAGTTGGGAACCTGCTGGGGGTGGGGAGCCAAGCCAGCTTCCTGACAAGACATCAGGTGAAATCTGGGGCTGGACTGACATTTCCAGAAGGCACATTGCTGTCTACCTCAGCCTCACAGATCTGGGGAAACTCAGGCCTCATGGGGCAGGAGACCCAGCAGCCAGCAAGAGGCTAGGCAGAGTTTGTGGCTGGGACACCAGCAAGGTGTGGGTGAGCCACACCCGAGCCGACTGACACCTGCCTAGACTACCTATGAGCAACAGGTGCAGAGAACAGAGGGACAATGGACAGGGCTTGGAGAAGGGAGGGGATGGAGGTTGAGGCAGCTTCACTAGTGGGAGTTAATACAGGAACCAGCTGGGCATTGTAGTGTTGGAGTGAAAGGAAAAGACGAGAAAGATGATCAGGAGGGAAGGAAGGTCAGTGTCAGAGAGAAAACACATACAAAAGAGAAATAGGTGAGGATATCCAACACCCATGGGGACACATGCCTGTAATCCCAGCACTCGGGAGGCTGGGACAGGAGGACTGATGTTTGAGGCCCGGGCTACATAGCGAGACCCTGCCTCAGAAAAACAACAAAGATAAACAGACAGTCTGGGAGCAGGAGTTCCAGACGGGAAGAGAGAGAGAAGGGCAGAGCTATGTTTCTAGAGAAAGCAGGAGCAGTTTCACAGGATAAGGAAGGGTGGCTACTCACAGGTGCAGAAAAGCTCAGAAAAGCTGACAGAAGGAACACGGAGGAAGCATGTGTCTGTCCGTCCATCTGTCCATGTAAGAATGTGGAACTTATGTCCGCCAGTGAGAGTCTTAAGCCCAGCTCTGGCCGGGCAGGAGGACAAGTCACCTTTGGGGACCAGTGGACTGACGCTGGGCATTGCTGGAGAAAAGCAAAGGCAGTGACATGGCTGTGCTTGAAATGCCGAGAGAACCCAACACTGCCAACCAGAAATGGTTCCCAAGTGAGTGTTCCTGTAAGAGGGAAAGTGTGGTGAAGGCGTGTTCAGACAGGCCATCTGGACTCAGTCAGGACCTGTGTTGCTCAAAGCTGAAAAAGGTCCTGTGGGCAGCCGTCCCTGCAGTGGAGCTCTCCCTGAACCCAAGGGCACCTAACGTCCACATTCCAGGTACCTCATCTATCAGCAAGTTTGTGGCCATCCTCACAGGAGACCTGTCTCCCAGGGCTGCCTTGCAGCACAACTGGACAGTGCCAATGTGTCCAGGGCTCCTGTGTCCACTCGAACTTCCTGTCCCAGTGGGATTTCAAGGGAACTCATAAAATGCAAATGTTACACCCAGATCCGAGGTGAGCCCCAGAAAAGGGAGGGTAATGTCACCCCTTAGGTCAGCCTGCCAGGCAGAATGTTGTACAAAGTCCATTCCCTCGCTCCGATTGTTGGGCTGGCACTGTTGAGTGAACAGAGACCAAGCCTGCTCTTTGGAGCTGTTGTTCTGGTCGAGGGAAGGAGACAATGAACGACTGGTGACGCAGACTGGGAGTGTGTGGAGGAGGACCTCTCGCAATGACACCGTAGGTCCAGGCTAGTGTGGGGTGTTGTGGCTCACTGGACAGTCCCAGGCTGTCTCAGTGGGTGGCAGTTGGACAAAGAGCCTCTTGGAGGTGGGCACCAGAGAGCATTGTAGACTGATATCACAGTGGAGACAAAGTCACTAACTTGGCTGCCATGACCAGAAGGACAGGGTGCATGACCTGAAGTTAGGTGGAGACACAGGGCTCAGACTGTCTCTAAGGGCTGTGGAAGACATAACCAGGGCGTGAGAAGTGGGTTCTGTTGATACTGGTCAGGTCCAGGTGGCCACTGTGCCCTGTCCTCAGCCCCCTGGACAATTTGTGTCTGGTTGTCCTGCCAGGGCACAGACAGGACGGCATTGGAGTCACCAGCACTGTCAGTTCCCCGTGTGTTTGGTGGCTTATACACAGTTCCAATGGCGATGTCTCCCTGTGACTGTCACAGACTGGGCAGACACAGATCACCACCTGTCCACTTGCAGTCTGTGCACGTGAAGTTCTTTTAGAGAGCGGTGGAAGGGTCTTGGCCATTTTTCTGCCTCTGACAGTTTCTGCTTCTCAGTGAGGTGACACTGGATACTATGTTTGTCTGTTGTAGGGTTTGCTGCTCTTTACCCTGTACGTGTGTGGTGTTAGCCAAACCTAGGAAATTAGGATGGCGACTTCTGACAGCAGCTTTCCTGCTTCTTTCCTCTTCTGGGACTCAGATTGTGCTAGATTTTTGGATGTCGTTCTATGGGTGAGGTCCCATTCAGTTCTTTGCCCCAGTACCTTTTCTTTTTCTCTGTTTAAGATTGGATAATTTCTCTGTCTGTGTTCAAATTCAGCCACCTGATGTCTGTCCATTGACAGTTTTATCTCAGATACTGCATTGTTACTCTGGAGTTTCCATTTGGTTCTCCTTATGTAAAGTCCTGTTTTTCTCTACTGCTCTCTCTGTGGCTCCTTCACCATGCAGGTGCTCTCTCTCTCTCTCTCTCTCTCTCTCTCTCTCTCCCCCCTTTCCTGTTACACTTCAAGGTCCCCATCTGATGATCTAGCACTGGGTCTTCTCCTTGCATGTAGGCTCCATTTCCTTGTTTTTGGGGTGGAATAATTTCAATTGCATCTTGATGTGGTGACTTATAACTTGAACTCCAGGGTGAAAAACGTTTTGTTTCAGTGGACGCTGAACTTGGGTCAGCCCGGGGCTCCGTCTCCCAAGGTGGCCTTTGCTGGCAGCTTCGTCCGCTATGTCTATGTATCCTGAGGCAGCCCCAGAGGTGGTGTTGGGACAGTTTAGGGGCTCACCTTTTGTGGTGCTTTATTATTAGAAGTACCTTCTGTTTTTATAGTTTGTTTTTTAATTACCATACACCGATAGTACAGGGGGGTGCATTGTGCATTGAGCAGCTCACCTTTCCCCTATAATGCCCCCTTTCAAACACGTTTGGTGGGTTTCATTTCTCTGTTTCTACACACACATAGCATCCACAGATCCTTTCACCTCTCCCTTTCCTCCTCCTCATCCCCACTGTCCCTCTTGGCTTCTGTTTGGTGTTCTCCTCCATTGTCTTTGTGTGTCATGTCTCTCTCCATCACCTTTTTTATTTTGAGGTCCTGGGATTTGAACTCAGGTCCTACACCTTGAACCACTCCACCAGCCCTTTTTTGTGATGGGTGTTTTCGAGATAGGGTCTAGTGAACTATCTGCCTGGGATGGCCTCATACTGCGATCCTCCTGATCTCTGCCTCCCGAGTAGCTGGGATTACAGGTGTGAGCCACTGGTGCCTGACACACCCGGAACTCTCCGTCACCTTGACGTAATGGTTCCTTCTGTCTGGAGTCCCCAGCTGCCAGCTCAGGCAGGTGGCTCTGCTAGGAGCTTGTTGACTGGGTTCGTGGTTAATTTTGAAGAAGGCACAGACACCACTTGCTCACTCACTTGGTGAGTCGGTGGCAGAGGGGAGGCCATGGGTGTCACTTGCTTTTGGCTGAAGCTGTGGGGATGCAGTTTCAGGATGAAGAGGACAGGTGGCCCATGTGACTGCTGTGCAGAGGACGTGGAAACCAAGGGCTCTATGTAGCTGAGTTAAACTCGAGACGCCCCCACCTGCAGGGTCAGGAGCATGGCTGGGTGTTTAGAATCCGGAGTTCGGTGTCCCAGTGAGTCCTGGGGGTCCAGAGTGAGTTGTCAGGTTGTTACTGGCATTTGACACCCTGTGGCTGCCTGGCTTGGCCCAAGGAGAAGGAGAATGCAGCTTGTGACGAGGGCATCAGGCTCTGAGGTGTGGCCGCGTCTGCAAGTCAGCAGAGGGAGATGGAGACGGAGGGGAGGAGTGGGGTGACCCTGCCTTGGGGACCTTGGAGGCCAGAGAAGCAGCATCCCGGACAGTGGGAACTTCTGAGCTCAGGGCTACCGCCAACTCAATGATGTGCAGGAGGAAGCAGAGAGCCGTGGACTGGGCAGGGCGAGACCCGAGTGACTAGGGTCCAGCTCCCTGCTGGTGGTGGACCCACCCGTGGCAGCCATGACCAAGGATGCTTGCACTCAGGGCTCAGGTCCACCTGGGAGCAGAAAGGGGCTGCAGGGCCTATGTGGCCACCTCCACTGACCACGTGTCTTTCCCTCAGTGAGAGGCTCTTCACCACCGGAGCAGAGCCTTGTGTGCTCGGGCACCTGGACGAGCCTCCCGGCATGAAGCAAGTGGTAGAGTGGAGGCTCCCTCTACCACTCGGTGACGGGTGCTGTGTCCTCAGTGGCCTCCTTGAGGGTAGAAAATCAAGTCTGAGTTACAGCCAGACACCTGGTCTCTATTTTTCCTGTGACTTACCTTTCCTGTGTTCAGGTTGGAGTTTATCAGGCTCCAACCTAAGGAAAGGTCACCACGGGCCCATGAAGGCACAGTCGCCTGGATGTAGGGTGTGGCAGTCCCCGGAAACCTCCAGAGAACGTCTGTCGCTCTGTGGGCCTCTGGTTCATGGACTTGCTCCTCATCACGTGTGTGGACAGTCAGTCGCTTGATGAACGCCTGGCTCTACTGTGGTCCTTACTGTGTGCAGGCAGTGACGTGCCTGCAGCTGGTGGTGTTTGATCGCTGCACGTTCTGGTGGCAGCCCTGAGCCTGCTGAGATGCAGTGCAGCCAGAGGAGGGGACAGTCTGTTTCTGCCCGCCTGCCTCATGGTTTGTGCCTGGTGCCTGCCCCCTCGTGGCCAGCATGTCTGCCAGCTCTGCCGTGGTCCTGTGCAGTCGCCTGCTCTCAGGAGTCAGTGGGAAGGGGACAGCAGGTCCTTGGTGATGTCAGCCTCTTGGTTCTTCTGGAGACAGCCTTGTCCTCTGGGCAGGCCACCAGCTGGCCCAGGCTCCTGCCATCATCAGCCCTTGCTGTCTGCCCTGAGCAGACAGTAGTTCATGTGGCATTTCAGCCATCGCCATGTCAGTTAAGACTGTCCAGTGACTTCCTGTTGTGAATCAGGGAGCTCCAGTGTGGACCCTCAGGGTCAGACATCCCTCTGCCCTCCACACACACCGTGTCCTGTGTCTGTCCGTTGTCCTTGCAGGACTGGCTGGGCTCTGACACTGTCACCCGAAACCCCTCGAGTCAGGGAAGCTTGTGCCCCTGTTAACTGCACTCTCGTAGGTGAGGTCAACCTTGACCATCCCCGGAGGGAGGCACCATGTGTCCTGGGCAGCGTGGGAGTGGCTGCCTGGTGGGCACATTTCCCAGAGCAGGTGGCCACGTGTCACAGGTGTGCCCAGGCCCTTGCCGCAGGCCTCTTCCTGGCTCTACATTAACCTTAGCTTTTCAGTCTTGCCTTTGTGTTAAAGTGATTTCTGGAAAGAGTTGGGAACATTTCCATCCAGGCCCTTCTGTTGCCAGCTCAGAGCGATGGGGCCATGTCCACGTCCAGGCCAGGGTACGCTTCCTCACACAGTGTTTGAAGTGCTGCCTTTGAGGTGACCTTTCTGTGAATGCTTTTGTAGTGCTGAAAACCCAGAGTGGTAGTTTAGGGGTTAATTCCTCACTGTGGCACTCCCTGTGGCTGATTTTCACAAGTCTCTGCAGGAGTCCTGACCATGTTTTCCTCCTGTCACTTTGGGAAGGCTGTGGCTCAGAGCCCAGCAGAGCCCTTTGACCTGACCTGTAGCCAAGTTTAAGTATGATTTGTTTGGAGAGACGGCTGGTGAGGACGGATGGTGGGCCTCATGTGTTGTGAGACATGTCAGTGACAGTCACCCCAGGGCATCGGCAGGTTCTAGGACAGTATGACCCAAGAGTGGCACCTTTACATTGCAGATAAAGGAGTATGAGAAGCTGGACAACGAGGAAGACCGCCTGTATCGGAGCTGGCAGATCTATGATGCCTACATCATGAAGGAGATCCTGTCCTGTTCACATGTAGGTGCTTTGTCCTGTCGCGACACGTCCTCCTGTTGTTATGTCCTTCTGTCGCGACACGTCAGGGTGTCTGAGAGACACGGTCAGTGTTTCCAGCATGAGCAACATGGGAGGAACCTGTTTAAACATTGAAAAATGCATACCCGGGATGGGGTGGAGTTCTTGTGCCCTCTTGTTTTGTGACAGGAGTCTCACGTAGCCCAGGGTAGCCCAGAACTCGCCGTCCTCCTGCCTCACTCTCCGAGTGCTGGGATTACAGGCATGCACCAGTGTGCCAGACTCTTTCTTCTGCTCTGCCATTTGTTCCTTGTAATTCTGGCACAGAACCTGTTGTGTCAGGTTCTCTTAATATATTTCCAGAACCTGATACTCTCACTGCAAAAAATGGCTGGAATCACATGACTAATTTGGACCAGCTGAAGAGAAAGTCTCGGTCTAGACTTCGTAAAGGAAGCCCATTTGTGGTCCTTGCCTGTGCTTGACCACCGAGCAGCATGGCACGAGCTTAGTTTTAATTTAGCTCACTTTAACAATTAGGCCGATCAAAATTGGACAAATGCAAACCTTAAATAACTTCTTCAGGTTAATTGCGGGCATAACTGATAGGTTAATTTTGCTCCCGAATGTTAAGTAATAGGTAAAATCAATGTTTTCTTTGTAAATAAGATACTCTAAGTTGGCCATGAGGGTAAACTAGGTTCTTAGGAAATTATTTCCAGAAGGTAGAATAATGAAAATCACCACTTCAAAACACCTGCACATTAATTAAGGCTTTTTCAAAGGTACAGCTGACAGACCTGACCAACTCTGTCCAGCACAGTAGCCACTGGCCCTGTGTTTTAAAATCAGGTTGGGGACACACAGGTGACCACATTTGCATCTGGCAGAAAGCCGATTGGTGGCCCTGGTCATGGTAGATGGCTCACCATAGTGCCACACCGTTGTGCCTCGGTGCTCAGAGTGCGGTCACAGTTCTTACCGCCATGGCTTTGAGCTGGCCGAGGAAGACACCTGAGCTGGGACAAGTCCCTGGCACTGTCGCCTCGCTGCATGGCTGGGTCGGCATCCCGGAGGACGCATGGGGAGCTGGTGAACTTGGCTGTTACGGAGCCCCACCGTCAGCTGGGCTAAGCGGCGTGAGGTGGTGTTTAAAGCAATTTTCCTGACAATTTAAAGTTGTGATCATGGATTATAGTTTGTTCTTCACGTCGTTGCCCAGCTCTGCCCTGGGGAGCTGCAGGGAGTCTGGGTACCCAGAGCCTCTGGTGCCACCTCCTCGGGCCGAGCCTCTGCAGTCCTGCATCTGGTTCTGAGCATGAGTTCCTGCATTCGTTTTTATATAGGAGACTTTTTACCTTTGAGGATCACCTGGACAGGTGACAGTAGGGTCCTCCAACCCCTCTGACCACTGGCCCCTTGACCTCGAGGGGGGAGACTTGTCTGCTGCCCATCCAGGCACATGGACACGCAGAGGGACGAGCCACAGGTTTTAAGAATCCTGCTGAGAGTTTCCTAGGCTACCATCTAGGGCTTGACGTGCTGAACTACCTGCTGTGTGTTCCGTGATGTGCAGTTTTGTTACTTTTTATTGCTAAAAAAAATACCCTTTGATTTTTTTTAAAGCCATTTGCAAAGAAAGCTGTAGAATACGTACAAAGTCACCTAGCCAAGAAACAAGTGACATCAACTCTTTTTCAGGTAAGATGAAATTCCTTTGCAATAAGTGTATCTGATTTGTTCTGTGGGGCTAGGCGACACTTTCTGGCATGTGTGAACGCAGTGTAGGAGCTGTTTTGGGAACTGTGCTCTCTCTGGATGACCAGAGCTGGTCCTGGACATCTTCTCACTGTCACCTATTCTCTACCCAAGAGCCTGGTCTTCCTGGAAAAAGCCAGGAGCCATCTTCATGGTGCCAAGGTGCAAATCCTTCCAGGGAGATGCATCTGACACTTTGGTGCCTGTGACAATCAGGGACCTAATGAGATTTATTTCCTTGTGTCAGATCTTGGTGCTTATGGTGATTGTTCTCAGATTATGTGGATTTATTTTCAAAGAACTAAGGTTTGCACACAGTGCAGGCCTACAGGGTTAAGTGACATCAGATTTGGCATCACCAGGACAAGGCCAGACATTTGAGGTCTGTGTTGATTATAAAAGGAAAGAGTGTCCTTGAGCTATGTACAAATGAAAGTAGTTAATTTATTCTTATGTTGGGTTATTTAGTCAATTACAGGGAGGTAAACTGATGTTGATTTGATGTCCTATGAGAACATTTATTTATGCAAAATTGAGGCCAGAGTTTTGGACCCCAGGTGTGTCTACCTGCTCCTAAACGCCAAATAATGAGGTGGCAATGGTGGAGGCAGAGAAAGGAGGTTTGTTTTATTACATGGCCCAGGACACGCCATGGGAAGAGGCAGAGAGAGAACTCAGCTCATCTTCAGCCATCTTCAGGTACAGACATGAGCTGCAGCTTTAAATAGAGAATTAGGGCAGGGGACAAAAGGTGTACAGAGTTAAACAGTCCCCGTCGTAGGTGTGTCCTGGTGGCTCTTCCCTCAGTCCTGGTTCTGTGAGGGTTCTGGAGCTGTTACTGTTGTCGTCACTTAGGGGAGCTGTGGCGCCTGTGAAGAGATTGCTCCTGCTCCAGGGAGCACAGTGTAGGCAGTACAGGTAACTGTCTGCATTTGGAGATTTGGAGATTTGGAGATTTGGAGGGCATCTGTCCTGCCAGGCTCTGCGGTTCCCTTGGGGAAGTTTCAGGCCCTTGTCATAAAGATGTTTCCATCATTCCTGTCCTTCCTTGAGTCCAAGCTGATGGCAGGGGGAAGTGGCTCAGAGGGAGGGACAACAAGTACGAAATGGAGACAGAAGTGCCACGCTTTTTCCTTTCACTTAATTCCTGGCCCCAAGAAAGGAGTCAGAGCTTTTTAGTGAAAGCAGTTCAAGTACCTGTTACAAAATGAAGCCGATTTCCTAGAGAGAAGGAAACGCCCATGGGCGTTAAGTGTTCATCAGAGTAATGAGATGGACCTTTCCTGAAGTGTAGGACCTGTGTGCATCATCCAGAAGATGATGCTAAGCGCTGGCCATCCAGTCTCTGGGGCTGCAGGACAGTCTTTGGGGTGCTAGGCGACTTCAACAGCCTCCAAACTCTAGTTTGCTCGCCTGTGAAGTGGGGTGATGCAGATTCCCCTAAAAAAGGTCCACGTGGCCTCCTTTACACTGGGCACTGGGTACTCCCATCTCAACATTCCCTGAATCTTACCCATTAGCAGGTATTTTACAGTCAGAAGGTGCAGTGTGAGCATTTGCCTTGTGTCATCTTCAGTGTGAGAATTTCAGTATTCAGCTGGCTGCCACGGTGCACCTAGAGCCGGAGGGTCCATTTCCTGTAATGCTGGTAAACTAGACCTTGTTACACGTGGCATATGAGGCAGTTTTCCATTACTGTACCAGGGTGCTTAAAGCTCAGCCCTTTATAAAGAAACAAGGTAAGCTTGATTGGAGGTCCACAAATGTAGCCTCTCTTGAGGCCCCTTGGCCAAGTCACACCATGGAGATGACGTGGCAGCAAGGAGAGGGCACATGGTGGACTGGAAGCCAGGGAGACAGGGAGGGACTAGAGGTGTCCTTCTGTGTGTGACCGTCCTCTCATGAGAACTAACTGGGGTCCCAGGAACCACATTGCCCCTTGTGAGGGCAGCGCCCCAGTGACCTCAGCACCTCCACGTGGCCACGCTGGGGACCATGCTCCCACACTGAGCCCTTGGGGGCCACTTGATCTTCACTCAAGCTGTGCCAGGTGGGTTTCATTGATCAGATTGTGTCAGCGAGGTAGATCAGCGTGACCATTTTCACACTGCAGGGAACAGTAGATGCTGCCTCTTCAGGATTCCTTGTTAGAAATAAAAACACTTACTGGTTTTGTTCACTTAAAAATGGACGAAGACAGTGTTCTGGTGGAATCGATTCTGGTGGGCGGTGCTCCTGCTCTGAGATGAAGGGGGCGTCACGTCAGCACAGCACACAGGCTTTAAATAAAAGCTGCACATTGCACGTCCTGTTTATAGAGATGCACTCACCCTACTCGGGCAGCATCCATAGCAAAACAGAAATACCCTGAAAGCAACAACGAAGTGTGTCACATTAAATTCCTCTTGCTGAGGGAGGGGTGAGGATAGGTAAGACACCTAAAAAACTAGCTAGCATTTGTTGCCCTTAACGCAGAGAAACTAAAGCAGATACCTTAAAGCAACTGAGGCCAATAGGAAAAGGGGAACAGGTACTAGAGAAAAGGTTAGATCAAAAAGAATTAACCTAGAAGGTAACACACATGCACAGGAAATTAATGTGAGTCAACTCCCTGTATAGCTATCCTTATCTCAACCAGCAAAAACCCTTGTTCCTTCCTATTATTGCTTATACTCTCTCTACAACAAAATTAGAAATAAGGGCAAAATAGTTTCTGCTGGGTATTGAGGGGGTGGGAGAGGGAGGGGGCGGAGTGGGTGGTAAGGGAGGGGGTGGGGGCAGGGGGGAGAAATGAACCAAGCCTTGTATGCACATATGAATAATAAAAGAAAAATGAAAAAAAAAAGAACTAATTTAATTTACTTAGATGGGCACTGTCCAATACTAGTTCTTGGACTGTGGAAATCTGTAATTTGTGCTGTCCACTAGAGTAACCACTGCCACATGTGGCTAGTGATCACTTGAGATGAGTCTGGTGTGAACAGGGAATTCATTTTTTAATTTTAGTTAGCTGTAACTGATTTATATTTGTAATTAAATAGCGATTGGATTGGATGTCATAAACTTGGTGGTATCATTCATGGAAAGATTTTTTACAACAGAAAGCAAGTTGCCAAATAATGTGTGTGATCTTCTTTAAGTAAACATTTCACCTGTCCTCAATCCCATATAAATGATCTGATTCTATGCAGGTAGCTGTCTGGAAATGCACAGAAAATGGTCAGGAAGGCAACACAGAAAACTGACAGCACTGAGTACATGCAGGGAAGGTGATAACAGTGGGGCAGAGGAGGGAAAAGTTTGTGTATCATTTTGTGACTTTGCTTCTCATGTTTTGTTAGTCTTTTCAGAGCCATGTATTCATGTGTCACTTGTATAATTAACGAAAAATAAAAAATGAAAAGCTAAAAGTAAAAAAAAAAATTCCTCTTGCTGCACAATCAGCTTTGGAGATGAGTGGTTATGGAGAGGGTGAGGCTGGGAGGGATCCCAGCTGGCATGAGGCATCTAACATGCCAGCCCTGGGCGTGTCCTGCAAAGGTCTTCATGTATTGAATTATCGTGATAGCCTTGCAGCATGGACAGGGCTCCGTGTGTGGGGAGGGGTTACACACGGCCCCTCAGCTGCAGGGAGGCGTTGTACACGGCCTGTCTGCTGAACTTGGTTCTTTCATTTGCCTCCCTGGCGTTTCCTGGCTGTTGAATGTGGCAGTGTGGTGTGTTCGAATTCCTAGAGAGTTGCCTCTGGATGTTGGATGAAATAGCAAAGAACACTCATCAACATAACTGCTTTTGGAAATGGAGTCCCTATGGACTCACCCACTCTGATGCTCTCGCAGCTGAGGGGACATGGATAGACTCCGTGTGCTGCTGTGGAGTTGTAGGTATCAGCGCATGAGAGAACGAGAAAGAGAGAGAGAGAGAAAGGCAGAGCCTCCTTGAGACAGTGATGGGTTGTGAGGGTACAGGTGGCTTTGCCTAGTTGCCTCGCCAGTGTGGTGCTGCCCACTCTGTAGTGGGAAGCGAGGTCCCTGAGCAGCTGTGGCTTCTGTGGGTGCCCTGCCCAGCCGCCCGCTCGTTCACATGGTAAACTCTCAGAATGAACTGTGAAGACAGGAAACGTTACACGTCGCCTCATTCAACACACTAGGGTGTCAGACATTTTCCGGAAAGGCCTCACTGACTCTCCTCTGATCTGTGGAAATGCACTTTATAACTTCGTGGCTGGTGATGGGAAATTCATCACAGAACAGGAAGGAGCGTGGTGGGTTTGGGTCGTGGGGAAACCAGCCCAGAATTGAAGTCGGTTGCAGGCCCTCCTCCAGAGAGGGAGGAGCTCGCACCCTGGAGCCCTCACCTTCTCCCCAGAGGCCGGGGGACGCACCTGCTCACAGCCCCGTGGCCTCCTCGCCTGCAGGAGGAGGCTGAAACCCATGGTAAACACTGACTAAAGAGCATGGCTCTGCGTGGTTCATAAGTTGTGCCTCACTGTTCACAGCGTGCAGGGCAAAAGGAAAATGCAGGGACCTGTTTCCAAAAGTTATGAAGAATTTCAAGACAGTGGGAGGGGACCACTGACCCAGCCCTGGGACCCTGGGTGACACACAGCTTTGGCTATTTATAAGTGCATGTCACCCTGCCAGGAGCCACGCCAGCCAGTAGAGACACAGGGCCACCACTCAGCCTGCCCTGTCTTCAGGGAATCTAATGGTGGAGACACTCATGATGTGCTCCTGAGACCAGCCTGGTAGTGGGGCCTGCCAGCACGAGCACAGGGTGCTTTGAAGGGCACACCTGGCTCCCTCACCTGAGTCCCTCACCTCGGTCCCCCAGGGGTCCCCTCAGGTCCCTGGTGCACTGGGCTGTGATCTCCACTCCCAGGCTGTCCTGTTCACGTGTGGTTTCTTTTTCTTCCTTTCCAGCCGTACGTAGAAGAAATCCGTGAAAGTCTGCGTGGTGACATTTTCCAAAGGTTCATGGAAAGGTACGGAGCTCCACGTGTGTGCCGGCCGGGTGTGGGGGGTCACTGTGTCACCGTGTGCTGTCCTTCACTGGTTCACCCCTGGGCATTCATGGCCGTGACTGAGTGTTAGGCCTTGGTCAGGCCATTTCCTCCTCACTGCAGCGCACACCCTGCGCTTGCACAACCTGACCTCCCTCGACCTTCAGTTCTGCTTCAACATGGTCTGAAACTCAACCAACCAGGGACCTCCCTGTCCACATGTCCCCAAGGGGGCTAGGCCTGAGCCATGGGCCAGAGAGGAGGCTTATGTCTGCTTGTGGTCGTGTGTGTCCTTTGTGTGCCTCCTAAGCACGTCTGGAGGATCACTCAGACATGCTGGCCGTGTGATGTCCTGAAGGCCTGAACGTGCCCATGTTCTCCCTCTGTCCTGGGGTTGGGGAGGAGCAGTGTGCACCTGAGTGACCCCAAGACCCAAGCCTGGACATCAGGGCCATCTGTGTCTCCCAAAGAGGAGCCTGACAGGATGGAGCTGAGCTTCTCTTATTGCCAACCCTCCGAGGCTCCTTGTGACTGTCACCTTCCACTCACCCCCAGCTCTGACCCCCCGAGTGGGTGATGAAAGACGTGGAGCAAGGCCAGGAGACCCAGGGGTTTTGAACATGGCTCTGGGCTCGGGTGAGGAGGGCGGCTCATGTGGCTGCGAAGACCGTATGCAGTGTCTCAGAGCAGGAGGTGACTTTGCCAGCCTCACACATGTTGGGAGCGCTGGGGAGAGCCCTAAGGTCACCGCAGAGGTTGCCGTGAGACTGCAAGGGTTTCTCCTGGCTCTGCCTGTTCATTGTCAGCCTCAGAAATACTTGCACAGGGTCCTTCAGACCCTCGGGGACTGTGGCAGTCAACGTCCCTGGGCTTCTCGAGCCCCTCCTCCCTGCTCACCTTCTGTCCCTCTGCTTCACCCATGCTGAGGACTCTCAGCCTGTGTCAGAAATGGTGCTGGGCTGGGGGGTCGTCATCTCCAAGAACATCCTCCCTCTCTCTCTCTCTCTCTCTCATGCTGGGGGTGGAGCTCAGGCCTCACCCCACCCCATGCTACACATTCCTTTTGGACATTTATTTAATAAAACACACCTTTCCGAGGTGGGCATGGGGTGGACGCAGCAGCTTTGGCCTGGTGGTTGAGTAGGTCATGGAGCTGGAGGTCCGTGTGACACACGGCTCCTCGAGGCTGTGTCTGTGGGTCGGTGTGTGTCCTCATCTACCCTTTGTGTATCTCTGGGAGGTGGTGTGTTTGGTGTCCCCACTCTCTCCTGTGTGGCCCTGGCCAGGCCACTTCCATCTGTCTGTCTGCTCTGCCATGACCTGGGGTCACAGTCGTCCCTATTCGCTCAAGGAGTCATTGGGAAGGCCTGGCACAGGATGAGTGTGGTGTTTAAGCACCTGCTCCTCTCAGATTATTTGTACAGTTCAGTTTTCTATAATTCAGAACCGCACTATCTAACGTGGTGGCCACTGGCCACATGTAGCCACCAACGCTCCGTGAGTGTGCCAGTCACCAGACCAAGTCCTGCAAATATAAACAAGAAAACAGGTGTCCCACTGATGACGTCCCCTTGGCCACATGCTGAACTCATCCCGGGATTACATAAAATATTAATTAAAATTGAGTAACGTTTGTGTCTTGTCCCTGCGGGACAGTGCTGACTCAGAAAAATGTCACCATAGCTGTAAGTGAAACGGGAATGCCAGCTCCGTCCCCGAGGCCACACGGGTACTGCCATTTGAGTTGTCCTGTAATGTCACCCTATCAACCCAGATAACTTGACATTTAACTGTTCAATAATCATTTGTGTTCTCTTTCAGTGACAAATTCACTAGATTTTGTCAGTGGAAAAACGTAGAATTAAATATTCATGTAAGTATCCTCTTTTTTCTTTTTAAAAAATAAAAGCCTTCTCTGGCTCAGTCTCCTGAGAAAATACTTCATACTGGACACAGGCTCCAAGGGGCACAGCCAAGGGGCACATCCCACACATAGGCTTTGTGTCCTGTGAAGCCTTTCTCCCTCACCCCATAAGTGATCGGCACCTCACGCAGCAGTGCGCCCAGTTACATAAGGAAGGGTTTCTGCTGAAATTTGTTGACCCTTTAACAAAGTCGGCGTGAAAACACCTGTCTTCTGAGCATAATTGACACACGACCTGATCTTTCTGTCCTGCTGTAAAGTTCCTTTTTTGTTATTATTGGATGTGATAATATGAGTTGGTGTCATCTCTTTGTCATTTTGAGAACAAGGAAAGTCACCTTCAAGTGCAGGTGTTTCCTCACAGCTCACTCCCACATTTCCCCCTGGTTTTTGGTTTTTTGTTTTTAACTATTTTTCTTGGGGCAGCTCTGTTGAAAGCAGAGTGTTTTGGCCTCCCCCTGCTGTCGTATCTCCTGGAGGATTTAAAAGCAAGTAGCTGGAACCTCGTTTGTCAGAAAGTCCCCTTTCTTGCATCCTGCTCTTCAGTGTGTCCTCCTGGACTCTGAGTGTCAGCCCTGCAGTGTGTACTCCAATTGCAGCTGACGTGGGGACCTGGTGATTTAGGGGTTGTGAGGACCCAGGAAGCCTCTCCCTTAATTTGCCAGAATACATACACCGTTATGTGACGGCCTATCACTGGGGATGCCATGCTTTTGTGCCTCTTAACATTTTCCTGGCTATATGCGTGGCAGAACCTAGCTGTGTGCTGTGTCATGTCACCCTTGTCCTGTCTCCTGCTCACGCCCAGCACAGGGCTGCCTCACTCATGTCCCAGTGAAGACTCCTATGGTGGCATCCTGGTCATCTGGCCCGTTCTGAAAACCCATCATATGGACCCTTGTCTATGCACCATAATGTCTTCTGGATGGGCTGGGCTGCCCCCAGCCTTGTGTCCTGCAGCTGGAGAGGAAAACAGTGTGGTGGCCTCTGATCCACCTGTCCTCCTCCTGTTCCCCCATGGAGGTGGACCATGGAGCCACAGACATCCTCTCCTCTAGGGTCCCGTCTCACGGCTTCCCTCAGTCACGGGTAGAACTGTCGTGTGTGTTTGGCGTGGAGTCTTCATGATGACCAGACTTCGGGTGATGTCACGTTTTCACCTTGCAGTTGACCATGAACGATTTCAGTGTGCATAGGATCATTGGTTGAGGAGGATTCGGGGAGGTGTACTGTTGCCGGAAAGTGGACACAGGGAACATGTAAACTTCGTCCTCACTGTCTCTCCACAGCCACTCAGGGCCTTCTTCTGTCACTATAGAAAATCCCTGGGTAGAACCGGGAAACCTGTGATCACATCCTGAAGAAATTCCCACAGAAAGCAGACTGTGCCTTGCTGAGCACAGGGAACAAGGACCTGGGCCTGACTCTCCTTTTGTAGGGCCACCCCAAGAGCTGGGGTCCAGAGGTGAACGAGGGGCAGTGAATGCTAACAGCTAGGGGCATGGGACCTGGGACACACTGGGAGGGAGTCGAGGCATTGTCTTCTGAATGGAGGCTAGCCTGCGATCAGCGAGGACGGTGAGGTCAGGTGAGGAGGTGAGGTGCAGGTGAGGTGAGGTGAAGGTGGGGAGGTGAGGTGCAGGTGGGGGGTGAGGTGCAGGTGAGGAGGTGAGGTGTGGTGAGGAGGTGAGGTGCAGGTGAGGTGAGGTGAACTGGGGAGGTGAGGTGCAGGTGGGGTGAGGTGTGCAGGTGGGGAGGTGAGGTGCAGGTGAGGTGAGGTGCAGGTGGGGAGGTGAGGTGCAGGTGAGGTGAGGTGCAGGTGGAGAGGTGAGGTGCAGGTGAGGAGGTGAGGTGCAGGTGAGGTGAGGTGCAGGTGGAGAGGTGAGGTGCAGGTGGAGAGGTGAGGTGCAGGTGAGGAGGTGAGGTGCAGGTGAGGTGAGGTGCAGGTGGAGAGGTGAGGTGCAGGTGAGGAGGTGAGGTGCAGGTGAGGAGGTGAGGTGCAGGTGAGGTGAGGTGCAGGTGGGGGGGTGAGGTGCAGGTGAGGTGGGGTGTAGGTGGGGAGGTGAGGTGCAGGTGAGGTGAGGTGCAGGTGGAGAGGTGAGGTGCAGGTGGAGAGGTGAGCTGCAGGTGAGGAGGTGAGGTGCAGGTGAGGAGGTGAGGTACAGGTGAGGTGAGGTGAAGTGGGGAGGTGCAGGTGGCGGTGAGGTGTGCAAGTCAGGGGGTGAGGTGCAGGTGAGGTGAGGAGGTGAGGTCAGTTGAGGTGAGGTCAGGTGGGGAGGTGAGTCAGGTGAGGAGGTAAGCAGTGCAGGAGTCCAGGCAGAGACGTCTTTCTGGAAAGCCAGTAGCACAGTTCCTAAGTGTGGGAATTTGTTTTCTCTCTCTTTTTTTTTTTTTTAGTGGACTGGGGTTTAAACTCAGGGCTTCCCACTGGAAAGCAGGTGCTCTACCTCTTAAGCCACCCCTGCAGTCCCTTTTGCTTTGGTAGTTTTGGTGATGGAGTTTCTTGAACTATTTGCCCAGGCTGGCCTTGGACCTCAGTCTCCTGACCTCAGCCTCCCAAGTAAGTGAGATTACAGGCATGGGTCACCAATGGCTGGCTTTGTTTTCTCTTTCATTAGAAGGTATTTCTGAGAACAAAACAGAGTGAACAAAGAGGTTTGTAAGCCCAGAATCAGAGGTGTGAGTAGTGACAGACTAGGGGGAGCGGGGTGTGTGGGGCCAGTGACAGGTGTCTGGGCCAGCCAAGAAGACACACTGGGTGTCGCACACATCCTCTGTCCCCGCCTGTGCCTAGAGCTGCAGCTTTGCCAGGCTCTGCCTTCTGTGTCCCAGAGGTCCCTCGGTGGCTTTTCATTATCTGGGGATGGACATCATCCTTCACCTGTTTGGACAGTGGTCACCTTCCTGCCTGGGCCCTGTGCAGGGGAACCTGAGGCCAGGCGCTCAGAAGTTGGAGTCTGGGGTCATCTAATGACTGGGACCCTGGTGTTGGGTCCTGGTGTGGGCTCACCAGGGCAGGCCAACTCCCACAGTCTTCTGGACAGTCCATGACCTGTCTGGGTGTCTGTAGCCTGGTCTGTTTTAAGGAGGGCAGTAGTTACGTGGATGATGGCTGTCGTCTTTGGGGCGTGCTTGTCCCTCCGTGAGTGCTGGGGAGTAGAACTTTGCTCATAGGACCAGGCAGGAGAGCTCATGGGCTGCTTCCTCTCTGGACGTCTCCCCTGGTGATGACAGAGATGTCTTCAGTGTGACCTGACTCTTCTCCCGCAGTACCTGGTCGCCACTTGTCTCTGTATCCACTGCCGAGTCCACAGGAGCCATGCACGGCGTGGCGTGGTGTGCCGCCATGGGCTCGGAAGCCATCTTTGTTCTCCAGGTATGCCATGAAGTGCCTGGATAAGAAGAGAGTGAAGCTGAAGCAGGGGGAGACACTGGCCCTGAACGAGTGCGTCATGCTGGCCCTGGTCAGCACCGGCGTGAGTACCCTTGCCCTCTGGCGCCTTCACCGCGGCCTGGGCTTTGTAGTGTGGTGTTTGTTTTGGGGTGCTGGCTTCAAACTCAGGGCCTCATCTGCTTCACAGCAGGACGACCTGCACAGCTGCCTAAAATGTGGCCTTGTGTTTCACTCGGTGTTGGCGGTCAGGAAGCCCAGCTGTCCCCGCCATGCACAGGGCACCTGCAGTGCCCAGTCCCTCGCCCTTGACCTTGACCACCTTCTTCCAGAGTGAGGCAGCCCAGGTAGCAGAAGTAACCGTGAGAATAAGTCACTTGACCAGTGACAATGGACTAGGTGCCGGGAAGGACTGACTCAGGAGGGAAGCTGCTCCTGCCCTTCACGAGCAAGCCAGAGGAAGGAGGGACTGTCACTTCCGAGCTGTCCTCCTGGCTGGCACTTCAGTCCACACCACTGTGGACAGGGTCATCTCTGTCCCCTGGTGGACATTTGGTTTGTGTGTCAAGCCAGTCTTCTTTTCAGCTCGGTCTCCCCTTTTCATTTGCAAAGTGGCTTCCCACTAGTGTCACTTGGAGGTGTTGTGGCCTCGCTTGTCACCTGTGTGCATTGCACTCTGCTGTATACTATTCTAGCTCCAGTCCTAACTGCTTCTAGAAGGGCCGTGTGCTGTTGGAGCAAACCAGTGTGATTTAGCTGAGCTGTGACAAGTGACAGCACTGTGGCTATAAATAACTTATGGTGGCCTTGCCCTGCAGTCTTTCAAGCAAGGTCACCACTGTGCATGAGGGACTAAGGTGGTCCTGCTGGGTGGAACCAGGTGGCCACGTATGTGCTGGTGTCACTGGGAGTGGTCTCTTCCTCCAGTTCTGCTGTGATGGCCGGCCCCAAGTTTCAAAGTTCCACTCACTGTAAATTATGAGTAGTTATGAAAACATTAATTTTTAATGAATTACCTCAAAGCCCATTTATTCTCACAAAGCCTGTGGGGAAATGCTGGGATGTTGGGAAAGTCCAAGGCAAGTTTTTGTGGCATGGAAGCTCAAGCCTGGAGATTCCCCATGGGTCCTGCCTGGGAAGAAAGTAGAGATGGGTCATGCTGGGCCATACTGTGAACTAGTTTGAAGGGATCACTATGTTTTAGTCAAGTATTGATCCGTATGTGTTTGAAAGTTTATTCACACGTGGTTTGAGCTGGAGAGTTGGAGTGGTTATTTGGGACTGGCTTTGCTGACCCAAGGCCACTCTGGTGGGTTTTCAGTACATGAGATTTGAATTTTGATGGCCGATGGCCATGAGACTGGGTGTCCAAGGCCAGAGAAGCTGAGGCAGCCACCCTGCTATTGTTTTCCCTGGAAGCTTGCTCTGGTCTCTGGGTCGTCCTGTCCCCATCAAAGCATCCTTCCCTGGTGAGACTTCAGGGGCTCCTGTCCTGAGTCTTCTGCAGGGCAGAGGGGGAAATGCGTGGTCTGAGAACCAGGATCAGCACATATGTTTGTCCATCCATAGGTGAGGTGAGCACTCTGCCTGTCCAGACATGTGGTCACACAGGCACAGTTGCGGTAACAGTCATGGCCTCTTTTTTCCTCTTGCCTGCCAGACCCTGCAGGCTGAGTTGTCAGTGAACACTGGGTCTGGGGCGGTAGCAGCCTGTCTGAGTCCCCAGCCCCACAGAAGGGCAGGGGAATTGAGAACGGGCACCCGGGCCGAGGGGCTGGAGAGTCACACACCAAACCCAACCCACATTGCTCTGAGGCCAGCAGCCAGGGTCTGAGGTTCCACAGCAGCCAGGGTGGCTGTGATGGGCTGCAAATGTGAACTGTGCTCTGCCACAATGCGGACATGACTTCCTGGTCCTCCCCTGTGGCTTCATGGCCCCGGTGCAGTGCTGCTCCTAAGAGGAGGGCTGGAGTCCAGCCTGCCCAGCCGAGGGTCTCCGTGAAACTCCCTGTTGGCACAGCCAGGCAGACCCTCCGACCTGGCGCCTTTTCCCTCAGTGAACTGCCGCCCAGGGTCCTGACTCCACGGGAAGCTCACCTGGCACCTGCTGGCCGGAGGGATGGCCTGCAGACCACAGGCTTGGAGACCCCCTGCCTTTTTCCCTCACCACATCCTGATAATACAGTGGGCTTTAGTTAACTGAGAAAACAGGGTTTGTCCAATGACCACCCAAGTGGGGGAGCAGCTGAACCCCATCCCGACCTGCGCAGGGCCTGGGGGTCCCAGGGATGGTGGGGGGAGGGGGTCTGTGTGGTCATGGAGTGGAAGCCACAGGGCAGGCAGGGGATGCCCAGGGAGGCCCAGGTGGGTTTGCTGCTGGCTGAAGTCAGGTCCTTGCCCCTCCCCTCCAGGGGCCAGGCTGTGTCTGGTGTCACCTGTCACCAGGCACACAGTAAGTGCTGCGGGCAGCCTTGCATCGGCTCCGGCCGGCACTTTGCAGGGCAGGAGCATCCCAGGATACTGTTGTGAGCTGTGGGAAGCCACATTGGGACTTGCTCAAGGCTTCGTGGGTCAAGGTGGAGGCCTAGTGGGAAGCAGGGCTCAGTGGAGCCTGCTGGACTGGCCAGGGCATCATCACCCTGCTGGCCATGCCTGCCTTGTCAGGACAGGTGGAGGGGCAGACACCAGAGCTCTCTGTGACCTCAGGCAAGTCGTTTCCCCTCGGGCCTGACTTTCCTGTCTTCAAAATACAGAAGTCGGAGCAGGTGGATTCCTTGTCTTTAGAGCCCTTCCTGCTCAGGGAGCCTGTGGCTCCAAATCTAAAATTCAACTTCAATCTTAGATAATATCTTAATAGGGCTGTGTGCCATCATGTTCAAAAATCCCTCACGGGATCACTTGTCCCCTGGTAGCATCATGGGAGTGCAGTTGCCAGCTGCAGTGGGGGACACCTGGGTCCCCTACTTGTCTGTCCACCCCTCAGGAGCAAGAGTCTGTGGGGACCCAGCCGAGGAAGAGCAGGTATTTGAAGTGGAACATGCCAGCCACCCCAGAAGGGCAGTAGGAGAGAGGCTTGGGGACACGGGACCGGGGCATGGAGGGGAGGGTCAGCTGTAAGCAGGCCAGGGACCCAGAAAGGCCACAAGCCTCCTAGCAGAAGGGCAGTTCTGCATTTTGTCTGCTGAAGGCGAATGCTTGGGGCCAGTAAATACTCACAGCCCGTCAGCAGAACGCTGAGGAAGACTCGGGGGTTCTGAGGTCACCTGGGGTGATTTTCCACGAAGACTTAGGGAAACCAAGTTCCGGTTCACTCATGTTTCCTAGTACAAGTGGGAGTACATGGTGTGTGTGGGAGTGTGGGGGGATGTGGGTGGAGGGGCATGAGGACCGTGTGTTTGTGGGCATGAGAGTGTGGGGGGCATTTGGGGGTGTATGGGGGCATGTATGAGAGTGGGGGGAGGAGGGTGTGTGTGGGGGTGTGAGTGTGGGTGTGAGTGTGGGTGTGAGTGTGGGGGTGAGAGTGTGGGGGTGAGTGTGGGGGTGAGATTGTGGGTGTGAGAGTGTTTTGGTGAGTGGGGGTAAGTGTGGGTGTGAGTGTGGGGGTGAGTGTGGGGTGAGAGTGTGGGGGTGAGTGTGGGTGTGTGTGGGGGTAAATGTGGGGTGAGAGTGTGGGTGTGAGTGTGGGTGTGTGTGGGGGTAAGTGTGGGGGTGAATGTGTGGGGGTGAGTGTAGGGGTGAGAGTGTGGGGGTGAGTGTGGGGGTGAGTGTGGGGTGAGAGTGTGGGGTAAGTGTGGGGGTGAATGTGTGGGGGTGAGTGTAGGGGTGAGTGTGGGGGTGTGAGTGTGTGGGGTGAGAGTGTGGGGGTCGTATGGGTGTTTGGGGGCATAAATGAGAATGGGGGAGGAGGATGTGTGTGGGGTGTGTGTGGGAGTGAGTGTGTGGGGTTGTGTGTGGGGGTGAGAGTGTGGGGGTCGTATGGGGGCATACATGAGAGTGCGGGGAGGAGGGTGTGTGTGGGGTGTGTGGGGTGAGAGTGTGTGGGGGTGAGAGTGTGGGGTGAGAGTGGGGGTTAGTGTGTTGGTGTGAGTGTGTGGGGGTGAGAGTGTGGGGGTCGTATGGGGGGTGTATATGAGAGTGCGGGGAGGAGGGTGTGTGGGGTGAGTGTGTGGGGTTGTGTGTGGGGGTGAGAGTGTGGGGGTCGTATGGGGGGCATACATGAGAGTGCGGGGAGGAGGGTGTGTGTGGGGTGTGTGGGGGTGAGTGTGGGGTGAGCGTGTGGGGGTGAGTGTGGGGGTGAGGGTGGGGTTAGTGTGGGGTGTGAGTGTGTGGGGTGAGAGTGTGGGGTCGTATGGGGGTGTATGGGGGTATACATGAGAGTGGGGAGGAGGGTGTGTTGGGTGAGTGTGTGGGAGTGAGTGTGGGGGTCGTATGGGGGTGTTTGTGGGCATAAATGAGAATGGGGGAGGAGGATGTGTGTGGGGTGTGTGTGGGGGTGAGAGTGTGGGGGTGAGAGTGGGGGTTAGTGTGTTGGTGTGAGTGTGTGTGGGTGAGAGTGTGGGGGTCGTATGGGGGGTGTATATGAGAGTGCGGGGAGGAGGGTGTGTGGGGTGAGTGTGTGGGGTTGTGTGTGGGGGTGAGAGTGTGGGGGTCGTATGGGGGGCATACATGAGAGTGCGGGGAGGAGGGTGTGTGTGGGGTGTGTGGGGGTGAGAGTGTGTGGGGGTGAGAGTGTGTGGGGGTGAGAGTGTGTGGGGGTGTGAGTGTGTGGGGGTGAGAGTGTGGGGGTTGTATGGGGGTGTATGGGGGGTGTATATGAGAGTGGGGGAGGAGGATGTGTTGGGGTGAGTGTGGGGATGTGGGGTGTTAACAGAATCACCCACGTGCCTTTTTAACCACACAAGAGCTGCTCGCTACTGTTGGGACTGATAGCTCACAGTCTGCAGAGAACGTGACATGGAAGCCGCCATTTTAAAATATGAATCTCTCTGGTGGCAAACACATGCGGTCCACAAGAGTCTAAACAGACGTGTGGCGCTCAGAGAGCTGACACCGTCAAAGGGAACAGATGCGTGTCGCTGGCACTAGGTCGCAATGGAAGACTGCCAGGATTCCAAAATCTCCTCTCACAGCCCCCACCCCATCATGAGGTCCTGGAATTTGAACTCAGGGCCTCTCGCATGCCAGGCAGGTGCTCTGCCACTTGAGCTGTTCCCCAGCCCTTTTGCTTTTGAGGTAGGGCCTCGCGCCTTCGCCTGAGCTGGTGTAGGACCGCACCCTCCCATCTCCACCTCCTGAGCAAGTGAAGTGCAAGCGTGGGCTGCCAGGCCTGCTTGTTCTGAGACGGGTCTCATGCTTTCGCCTGGACTGGCCTAGGATCTTTGTGTCCACCTTCCAAGTAGCTGGGATTACAGGTATACACCACACACCTGGCTCTTCCTTCCACCCATTTGAGTTGCTAGCCCCATACCTGAGCTAACTGCTCCCCAAGTTCTGACCCAGTAGTGTAGCTGTTAACTTACACCTTTGGCATCAAGTGTCAGATGTTGCCCGTGGCAGTGGCTTGTTCTGTAGGGGATGTCAGGGATCAGCCAGTCTAGCTGTGGTCTTTCTGTGTTCGGCCCATGAGCTAAGGATGGCCTGCATGGTCTTAAGGAGTGTAAGGCGCATAAGCAGAGAAGAGTGCACAAAAGTGACCACAGGACGCCAGGAACACTGAACTGCTTGCTGCTTGTGCACCGTCCTCTGCTGACAGATACGAGGTCTTCCCCACATTGGCTGGCGTCCACACTCTGTACCTGGAAGGTGGACCGATAGCTGTGCCCCTTGGGGTGCAGGCGAGGTCCAGCCATGGTGAGCACAAGCTCACAACTGGCCACAGTACCCATACCTGGTCACCCCACAGCCAGGTGTGGAGGCTCCGGCCACTCCATGCCATCCACTCAATGCTGCCCACTTTGCATGTTGGCAGTTGGCGTGGCCAGGGGTGTTCACCTCAGCTTTGTGACCCTTGCTGGTGGCAGGTGTCCTTGGACACAGGAGAACACAGGTCCTCCGTTCATTCACAGATTGCAGTCTTCTGCCCTGTGGTTTGGTGTTTTCTGATGAGCGGAGTCTGCGTTTCCTCTTAGTATAGTTTGTTGGTGTTTCTGTGGCTCGTGTGTTCCGTGGCCTGTCGTGAAGTCCTCGCTTGCTGTGAGATCCTGAGGGATCTCTTGTGTCATCTCACCAGCTCGATCGTCTGTCTGTCTTCCAGGTTCAGAGTGACAGACATCCAGGTGGTGACATTGGTGTGCGGTTTGTGTTGTATTGTGGTTTCTGTGTGGCGCAGATGCCTCAGGATCCGTGATGGAGAGCGCCGCCCTTTTCTTCCCTCACTCGCACCTTCATCTGCTGTGGCCGTTTGTCTGTCTCAGGATCCTGTCTTCTGCCCGTGCTCTGTGTCTGTGACCCCACGCCACGCTGGCCGCCATAGGATAAGTCTGGGAGTTTGTCGCTGTAAGTCCCCACCTCAGTTTTCTTCACGCACATCTGGATTTTCTTGGCTCTTTACATTCATGTACATCTTTAAGTCAGCTTGTCACTGTCATTTTAATTAAGGTCCCACGGAATCTCAGGTTAGTTAGGATGTGTGAGTTCTGCTCAGCATTGGGCTACGCCTCCCTGACTATGGTATCTTTTCCACTTTCAAAAGCTGATTTAATTTGTTCCTGGTGATTAAACCAGTGCTGTCCCTGCTGTGGTGCAGTTCTTCCATTTCAGAGGCAGAGGTGGAAATGGGTGTCTGATTGGCTAAGGGGACTATAGCTCACCGTGTCTCTGTCCCTGTCTTTCAAGATGGAGGCAATGAGAAGTCACACAACCCGTGGGGGACGGCCTCGTCACCTGCTCCAGTGATCACATCATTTGTCACATGTGACCACAGCCAGATCTGCCAACCCTGACGTCTGTGGTCACTGTGCGGGTGTTGCACCCAGTGTGTGGATGGTGGCGTTGGGTGGGGATGAACTCACCAGATGTGCCCACCTTCTCACCAGCCATGTCCTCCCTCTAGGACTGTCCCTTCATCGTCTGCATGACGTACGCCTTCCACACGCCCAACAAGCTCTGCTTCATCCTCGACCTCATGAACGGTAAGCGACCCAATGCTCGCTCCGTCCGTCCGTCAGTCTGTTCATCTGAGCACGTGCTGTGGGCAGGCTGAAGCCTCATGTCTTTTCTACAGTCACGTTCCCCTTCAGTTGTCAGTCACGATTCATTTCACAACCTGCACCGTGGTTTCCCCGTGGCCTGCCTGTCTCTCCTTAGAAGCTGGAGTCCTGTGACCTGGGCTCCGCCGCGGGCTTTGGTGCCTGGCCTGGGGTGGCCAGGCCTGTAATTAGCTTCCACCTCTTTGGCCCTCGGCTCCTAGGGAGGAAGCGCCTCCTGGGAGTACCGGCCAAAGATGGCTGCATTCACAGCTGGTGCTGACGGCTCTCTTTGAGCCAGGAGAGGCTTCAGCCCTCGGATGGTACGCTCGTCTCTTAAACCACGGGCCTTTGCTGGAAAAGCCACTTTTGCAGGCAAGGAAGTGACGTGGTGTACAACATGGTACACACACAAAGTGTATTTTGGCAGCACTGAGGTTTGAACTCAGGGCTTCATGCTTGCTAGGCAGGTGCTCTGTCACTTGAACCACTCCACCAACCCTGGTTTTTGTGATGGGGTTTTCAAGATACAGTCTCTGGAACTATTTTCCCAAGGCTGGCTTCAAACTGAGATCCTCCTGATCTCTGCCTCCCAAGTAGCTAGGATTACAGGTGTGAGCTACTGCACCCAGCTCACTTGAAGTTCTATGTTTTGAGTGCTTAGTGTGAAACCAAATCTGTCCAAATTTCACAGACACAGCAGCTCAGATCCTCTGGAACAGGCAGTGCTCAGGGAGGGTGGGGGCAGAGCCAGGGCCGAGGGCAGACAGACTGGGGGCCTGTGGGGTGTGGGTCCTATATGTCCCCATCTGGTGCCCCAGTGTGGGAGCAGGGAGACAGCACAAGCCAAGGCAGTGCAGGTGAGCTTTGCTTTGCTTCTGTAAACTAGGAGGGACTCTCCCCTGTGGCTTGTGAACACACCCTCACCCTATTGGTGACATTCTCTGTTCCCTTACCTGAGGCCTCATGATTAGTTCCTTTCTCCAGTGTTGTGTTACAGAAACTTCCAGGCACCACAGAGCTGCACTGCAACACCCCTCCTGGAGTGGCCTGTACTGGCTTTCCCCAGTGTCTCTCCTCACAACTGGGTTCTGGGGTTGGATTTTTTGTGCCTGTAGAGGTGCCAGGTAAGCCATCTTTGGATGTCTGTGCAGTTGGTGTTGGACAGGGCTCAGAGATCAGAGCAGGGTGGCTGGCCTGCCACGGTGTCACGGGGAGCCTGGAACCCTCGGTTGTGTCCTCGTGCCTGGCTCTGAGCTAAGGTCTCTAACGATTTGTGTTATACCACAGATGTCAAAGACAGGCAGCTAGGAGAGGAAGCATGGCTCCCCTTCCCCTACATCCCGACCGCAAGCAGACGCCATCAGGTCCCCTAGACTGAGGTGCGTCTCTCTCCAGGGGGTGACCTGCATTACCACCTGTCGCAGCACAGGGTCTTCTCAGAGAGTGAGATGCGGTTCTACACGGCGGAGGTCATCCTGGGGCTGGAGCACATGCACCGGCGCTGCATGGTCTACCAGGACCTGAAGGTGAGGGTGGCGAGCGTCCGGGGGGTGTTATGTGCCCCAGTTTATACTCATCGTGGTCCAGTGGGTGTTTGTGGAGCAACAGACGGCCCCCATTCTGTAGGAGCCTGGACGAGTGTTTCACAGGGACCTAGGCTGTGGGGTGGAGACCCAGAGGCCAGCGACGTGGACGACGTGGATGATGTGGTGGCACGGTGACATGGTGATGGCCTGCACCATCTCCCAAGGCCAGACTCTGCCCCGCGCCCCACGATGGAAGGGCTCGGGAGGGGGCAGTCCCTTCGTGGTGACGCTGGCTAAGCGAGGTGCCAGCGATCTGAAGGCAGCTCTGGAGGTGCAGGGAACCCAGGGAGCCCGAGAAATGAAGACGAGCCTGCAAGGCGAATGCCGGAATGGTGCAGGGAGTGGGGCGAGGACGCCAGGGACAGAGCGCCTTCCTCTCGGACCTGGGCCAGGATGATCCGAACCCTTTTCTTACAGTTCCAGTCCACACACCTAAAACTCTAGGTTTTGTGTTGTGTATTTTTTTTCACAGAATACTTGATAAATCTTAAAGCATTTTCTTCAAGGTCAAATGAGGCCCTTACTTTTCATGTGAGCATCGGGAAGCAAAGGATGCTGGGCTTTTGTTGTGTCAGAGAGGAGGAGGCAGCTGCTCCATAAGGGGAATGGAGTCGCGGAGGTCTGCAATGAGCGGGTGTCATCTGGCTCTTGGTGCTGACCTCGGCTTTCTGGCCGTTCAGGGGCAGTGTCATGATTTAACGTCCATTCAGGCCTCATTTGCGTCATTCGCAATCGATTACTCACACTCAAATGTTATAATTGAATTATATCGCTTTTATTTCAAGCACAGGGATAGCTGATCTCCAGCAGAAAGAGGTTTTAAGATGGCCGTGGGTCAGTGTAGGACCGGAGCTGGGCTTGCCAGTCATGGGAAAGCCCTTTCTTGGGTCGAGGTCGCAGCTGTACTTGGCTGTTTGGCTGCCCTGGCTCCGCTGTCCTGATTGGGTTGTGTGGTGCTGTGGGAAGCCTTGATCTCTTAGGTCAGCCTCTGCGTTTTCTTCTTGGTTCACTGGGGTTTGAGAACAGGCCTTGCACTTGCTATGTAGGTGCTCTGCTCCTCGAGCCACACCACCAGTTCTTTCTGCTCCAGTTATTTTGGAGCTGGGGTCTCACTTTTTGCCCAGGCTGTGATCCTCCTGCTATGCTTCTCGCTGTGGCTGGGATGACAGGCGTGTGCCTTCACACCCAGCTTGCTTCTGTCGAGACAGGCTCTCCCTTTGTTTGCCCTGCTGAGCTGGAATGGAGGCAGGAGCCTCCGGTGCCCGGGCAGCCTCTGCACTTGCACAGCTCTTGCTGTTGTTTTTTGCCCTCGTTCCCTGAAGTCTTTGTGGCTCATAGAAGCTGCAGGGCTGGTGGTTCCACTCCTGTTGTTGGGAGGGCCCGGACAGCGTGAAGGAAATGCTTTCCTCTGTGATGACCAGAGGTCTGGCCCCTTGGATGACCTGCCTGTGAGGCTCTGTCTGATGGTAGCTGCCTTCTTCACAGGAGCAGTGTTCTCCTCAGTCCCTGCGCTGTGTTGGTGTGACAGGGTAGACCGTCATCTGTGTGCTGGAGCAGACATGGCGGTGTCACGGGCGATGTCACGTGCACACACTTGCAGAGGCTGTCACAGTCCCCCCAGCATCTTGGGGACTCAGGCGTGCCTTTGTGTTTCCCTTTAGCCTGCGAACATCCTGCTGGATGAGCACGGACATGTGCGGATCTCAGATCTCGGCCTCGCCTGTGACTTTTCTAAGAAGAAGCCATACTCAAGCGTGTGAGTCGCCCTGGTACTGCGCCGGCCTGGCATCGGTGCCCCGATCCTCTCACCAGCTGCGGTTTCAGTACACCATGATACAGAGTCAGTTGGGGACGTCCAGTGTCACAGGAGTGAGAGTGGAGAGAACTGTGCGCAGTCTGTCACCATCCATGGGGATGGAACTGACCCCGGGTAACTGGCTGTGCTCGGGGCCCAGTGCTGCTTGAAGGAGGCTGACCCAGCAAGCAAGCAGGTAACCTTTGACCTGCAGTCTCTTCTGTAAGTGGAGCTGATCGTGGACCCCTTTTCACTGTGCCAGGGACACGTGAGGGAGCCCGTGTGCCAAGGAGGTGGTGTACAGCTGCACGGGATCCCAGGAGGGGCTGAGGGCTGCCGGCCCTCCCACATGCCTTTCTTTCCAAAAGCCCTTTGCTGTTCCCTGCAGAGGAATGAGGACTTTTGTTCCCTTAAACAAGCCAGTCATTCCTTGCAGTTATGGCTTTGACACCTGTGGGTCATATCGTTAGGTCAGAGTGAGTGAGGGAGGTGACTGCAGGCCACTGGCCACTAAGGGGACACTGTGGTCACACAGCAGGAGTGTGAGTGACCTGGCCTGAAGCTCTTCTGACCACAGGTGTGAGGTGGCCAGCCAAGCTCTGTAGACAGAAGTGAGGGACCCAGGACTCCATGACTGACCCTCTGGGCCAGTTTATCTGCAGGAGGTGGACACCCGTGTGCAGTGTGCGTTCAGGCCTGTGGTGTTGTCTTTAAGCGTCTCATTCTTAGCTGAGACTTTCTAAGTTGTATCTTGCTGTTCCTCCAGACTGAAGGCGCGTCACAGTGCTGGACGGCCTGGAGGACTGTCCCCACCACGAAAGCTTCAGCTTTGCTGGCGTGCCCACCATGCGTGAGTGTCTCCCAGGGACAGCACCAGACACTCCTAAGAGTCATTTGAATTTTTAATGCCACCGCCATTTGGTATGCTAATCTCTTCAATTTACCACAGTCATAAAATTGTGTGAATGCGAGTTCATCAGAATCGAGTGAGTCTTTCAAAAGAGCGAGCTCTCAGATCTGGGTTCTGTGACAGGTGCTGGAGAAGGAGCTGGAAGGCGGCCCAATCCCCACCTGCCAGAGCCAGCAGGTCCAGGGACCAGGGACTGTGTCCTTTAAGTGACCAGTGAGCATGTCTGTGGGACACTAGGTGGCTTATTGGCTGCCCAGGCCTCATGAACCGCTGCTGTGATGTTCATGGAGACCCCACAAGTCATGAGTGTCACCGTCCACTCCACATGGCCTGCAAGTGAGGTCCAGAGAAATTGCGTCACACCTGGCCACAGGGGCTGTAGTGTCAGCTCTGAAGCCAGGTCCTAGGCTCTGTGTACTATGGCGAAATCCCTGAGGCTCTGCTGCTTTTTTAGGTTGAAGGTGTTTTGCCAGAATTTCACCCTGAACTTGGTTTCTCAGATCTCTTCAAAGCTGCAGAGAAAGTGCCTGGACATTGCTGAGGGGCTGGTCCATCCCCAAAGCACTGCCATGGTTGGGGCCCCTGCTCGGAGCTCAGACCCATCCGTGTGGGGACAGGGTGACAGATGGACGAGCTTGAGTTTAGCTGTGAGGAGCCAGGGGACCCAAAGGGGACCATGGAGCTGAATCAATGGCCAGTGGCCGATGAGGGCCAGCTTACCTGAGGGAGGGACACAAAGCTGCAGCACGGGCCCCGTGTGTTGGCCAGCAGTCACGGTCTCCTTCAGTGGATGCCAGGAAGCTGTCACTGTCTTGGGTGGGCAGATCAGCCACAGCGCTGGCGCCGTCCCCAGCTCAGTCTAATCACATTCAGTGGAAGCTGGCAGACCCTCATTTGTTCCTCACTATCCTTCAGCTCTGTCCATTCCAGAAATGATCCACTCAGTCCTGGGATTGTGAGTCACAGGTCACTAGGAACTGCTGGGTTTAAACTTCCCAGAAAATGGTTTGGGTGCCTGAGGGAGGTCTTCCCTGCTCCTTGTGGGGCCGTGCACCAGAAGGCAGCTGTGGTCTCTGCAGTGCCGCCCACACACGGTTGTGCACTGGAGCCCTCCAGAGACCCAGGCTTGCAGGGGTGGACCAGTGCCCACTGCCACCTGGTCACGGCGCTCTTTCAAGAATTCTTTTAATGACCCAAGATGAGTTTCTGAGCAGATTCCTGCTGTCTGAGTGTGAGTTGTTAGAGGAGATTCAGATTCCCAGCAGGACAGCAGTGGTGGAGCTCGTCTGTAATCCCAGCTATGCAGGAGGCAGGCAATGGAGAATCCTGGTTGGTGGCCAGCCTGGGCAAAAGTGTAAGACCCTATTTGAAAAACAAAAGCAAAAGGCTGGGGCACAGCTCAAGTGGTAGAGCTCCTGCCTTGCAAGTGTGAAGCCCTGAGTTCAAATCCCAGTGCCACCAAAAAAAATAAAATAAGTCCTTCATCTGGATTGAGTTCTCCTGTACACCTTGATGCTAAGCCTGTGCCATCTGCGGTCCTCACAGCACCCCGAGGTGGATGGCTTCTTACCCATGGTGTTGGTGAAGGAAATCAGGTGCTGATGGTGGCTTTTCAGAGGTCATTCCTCTCTGCCACAGCTCTTCCAGCTGTTCAAGGACATCTAGGACCAGCACTGTGGGGCAGGAAGAGTTAGGGCAGCGTGAACTGTGTAAGTCAGGTGTCCTCCCAGGTGTGTCCTTGACATCCTGCAAGTCACAGTCGGCCTGCTATAGCTGACCCTTGGCCCTTGAGTGGCTTTTTAGGCAGATATGAGGGTTCTACCATGTATACCTGCATGTGCTTCCTCCTCCTCCTCCCCCCACACCCTCCAACTCCCAGGACCCATCACTGTAACTGAGTGTGACCCAGCAAGCAGCTCTGCCCCCAGCACATGAGAGCACAGGTCCTCAGCATGGGAGGGACACAGCAGGGGTGGACGAGCCCCTGCCCTCAGGTGCACAGCTCGGGGTGGTGCAGCCTGCTGGCTGTCCTGTGTCCCTCCTCCTGCTCCCCAGGCTGGCATCCATAGGGCTCTCAAGAAGGTGGGGAAACTGCTCCTCACCGCCAAGGACGCTGACCTTATCCGCTGGACTTGGGCTGGTGTCCCTTCTCCCTCTGTGTTGTCACATCCGTGGGAATGCCCATGTTGGTGGAGTGGGACCTGGCTTCCCACTGACCAGCAGGAGGCCTGTTGAACCCTGTGCCCCCTCCTTATCTATGGAGGCTGCCCTGCTAACCACCCTGTCTTCCCCCACAGGGGCACCCATGGGTACATGGCTCCCGAGGTGCTGCAGAAGGGAACAGCCTATGACAGCAGTGCTGACTGGTTCTCCCTGGGCTGCATGCAGTTTAAGCTCCTGAGAGGGTGAGTGGACACATGCGGGCTGCCCGCGGGCATTGCCGCCAGGAACATGGGGCTGGGGGAGCCAGGGCTGCTTGCCTGGATGCATGGGCCCTGGCCTTGTGCCCAGCCTGAAGGAAATGGGCACCCTTTTGAAATGACTTCCCTGACGTCGTCTTGGGCCATGCAGTGACCGGGAACCGCACATGGCTTAGAACCCCTGTACGACCACGCGGGTTTTGGCTGAGCTGCCGTCTGAGAGTGGAAATCCTCCAGGTTCTGCAGAGGGGACAGAGTTCCCGGGTGCTTACCACCTCTCTCTCTTTCTCTCTCTCTCCAGTGTACAGGAGGTGAAAGAGCACAGCTTCTTCAGGGGTATTGACTGGCAGCACGTCTACTTACAAAAGGTATGGCACCAGGGCGCAGAGACCACCACCTCTGCCCAGCCTGCTCGCCTGTCCCTGCTGCTTTCGGGTTTTGACCCTTGAAGGTCACCCTGTGGGAAACTCCTTCACATTGCTGGCCACGTGTACCCCGGGGCTCTCATTGGCAGATCTAGCCAGCCATCCACGGAAAAGATGTTTGGTCTGTGCTGAGCATGGTCGGATGTCTTTTCTTGTCTTCAGTCCCCAGACAACATGGAACCGTGGCTACTCGCACAGTCCTGGGTTTTGCCAGCCACCTGGAGCTGACATGGGTTACAGGGGTTGCGTGGGTCCAGGCAGATGTGGTGCCCATGGGGCCTGCCTGGGAACTGTCCCCGAGGGGCCTGCGATAAGTCAGTGAAGGGCGAGACAGAGCCGAGCTGTTGCAAACGTCTGCAGCACCGAGACGTTTTGAGTTTATGCTCATGTGTTTGAATTCTGTCTCAATATGTGAACATCCTTTTACGTAAACCTGTGTAAAACTACACAAGAAAATTGTGATGTAAACTTACGTTTTTTCTACCCAAGTAGCACAGAACGTAAGGGTCCCTTTCCTTATTTTTACTTGTTTTTTGGCAGCACTGGGGCTTGAACTCAGGGCCTCACACTTCCTGGGCAGGCACTGTAGTGCTTGAGTTGCCCCACCCAGCACCTTTTGCTTTCAGTTTGCTTTTTGTATATGGTCTCATGCTAACTGCCCACAGTGGTCAGAGACTGCCCTCTCTGAATTACAGGTGTGTGCCACCATGCTCGACTAAATTCGTTTAAAGCGTGTTTCTGCACGAGGTCAAGCTGCAGAAGGGCGGTGACTTTCTGTACTGGGTCCTGGGGCATTAGAGTCAGGGCTGCGGCCACGTTCGTGTGGACGCTATCCCGCCCAGCCTCAGCTCTGCTGCATCACACAGGGAGGAACAGCTGTCTGTAAATTGCACTGGGGACCCGGGGCAGCCTTGAGACTGTCCCGTGTAACCATCAGTTAGTACATTGGCTGTGCATCTCTTTTCTTCAGTTTCTGTAAATCTGTGGTCTTCCCGGGAGTCCGGGCTCCCGGTGACTCCCCACGTGGCATGCTCCAAGCAGGCTGAGCGAGCGTGGGGATCTTGTGCTGGGTCGCTGTGCAGGTCGAGGTTGGGACAGGGACAGAAGGGTCGTGTGATGTGTCCTGCTCTGTGTCCTCCAGTACGCGCCGCCCCTGATCCCACCGCGGGGAGAGGTCAATGCTGCAGATGCCCTTCAATATCGGCTTGTTTGACGAGGAGGACACCAAAGGCGTCAAGGTAGGCCTTTGCCCTGTGCCCTGCGTGTTCCTGGTTTTTGGTGTTTTTTGGATGGGAATTTCTGCTGGGAATCAGTTACTTTCAGTTCAGAAGTGTCTGGGGATGCAGAGATGAGGGAGCTCTGTCAGCTGGAGTCCCTGGGAGCTTTCCTTGAGCAGTCATCTTAGTCTGGAGGAACTAAACTGATCAGGGAAGGAGGGATCAGGGCTTAGCCGCCAGAGCGTCTGTGGTTGGGTTAGAACCTGGAGTGTGGGAGAAGCTGCGAAGTCAGATGATTCCCCAGCATGGAAGGGCCATGCTGCCTTCTTCACAGTTCACTCAGATCCACCGCGTGAGGAGGGGACAGGAGACAGCGAGTCACTTCGCCTTTGTCAGTCATAGGTGACATAATCGGTGTTTTGTGTCATCCTCTGCACGTCTCAGACTTTTGCTCGTGTCATTAATCCTCCAAGTAGAGACAAAGTGTGATGACAAGAGGGAACTGGCATGTCTGGGTGCCAAGTCAGAGTGTGTCACCTGCCAGGCTGCCACCTGTTCGTCTGTGGTGGCTTCTCTTGCAGGCGGCTCCATTCCCTAAGCTGCTTGCCCTCCTCCTGTGTGCCCCTCGTTTGTCCCCACACCGGAGCTGTGACACATTAAAACATGCTCCTGTCGAATGGGGACGGCATAGTGACGTGGCTTGTGGGCCCAGGCAGGAGCCTCCTGGGCCATGGGGTAGCGTGGGGGTGGCTTGCTGGCTGGAGGGGTTCGAGGTGTGGAGGAGGGTGGCCAGGGCAGGGAGGGTGGCTGGGGCAGCAGCTGGCGCGGGTACAGCCAGGGGTGTCAGGAGAGGGGCCGAGCTGTACACTGATGGAGCGTCCACAGGAGCGGCCCTGGAGGCAGAGCCAGGTGCAAGGCAAGTGCTGTGGGCCCAGCCCAGACTGTTGAGGTCGGCGGACACCTGGAGTGGAGGCTGTCCTGTGGACAGCTGAGGCTAGCACCCAGACTTGCATGGCATCAGTGCCACTGTGAGGCTGTGCTGCGGGTGTCGCTGACAAAGCGACTTGCAGAGAGTACTGCTGTCACAGCAGAGTTTTGTTACCAGGCGTGCTGCTGCACATCATGTACTAAAGCAGAGCTGCCATCGTGCAGGAGGTCACGTCCCCGAGTCCACAAGATTCTCAGACGCGAGGTTTCTGTAGCCCAGACCTCAGCTCTGGGGACAGTGGACGGCTTGGTGCTGCCCCGTTTCGCTGAGTGGATTCCAGCCATTTTGGGGCCTCCATTTCCCCACCTGTGACATGGGGAGTTGCACTGCTGTGCATATCAGTGAGATGGCCTGTGTCATTCTCCAGGACAGCGGCTGTGTGACAAGCTGGTGGCCTCTGAGCTTGTTTTGGGAAGTCACTTGGGGACCACGATGCTGAGTGTGGTGGGGACACGGCTGTGGTGAGGGTCCTGTCCGGAGTGAGGGCTCCGTGTGCCAGGGCAGCCGCCTCTTGAGAAATGAAGAGCAGCCCAGAGATGACACGGTTCATATTTTAAAAGCAAAAAACCCCAAAGCAAACCCAAAATCTCACCCCATACCCCCGTCAGCATGAATCATCTTCTGCATTAGTTCATTTTTGCTGACATGGAGGCTTAGGGTTAGGGTTAGGGTTTCTTAGGGTTAGGGTTAGGGTTAGGGAGGTCTGGAGGGTTAGGGTTCCGGTTGGGACTAGGGCAGGGTTAGGATTAGGCTTAGGGTTAGGGAGGTACTGGTGGCTTCTGAGTGTGCGGGGCCGGGGTCCTTGCTACCCAGTGCATGCCACACACCAGGGCCTTCGTGCCTCTCATCACACTGCCATGAACTCTTCTCTTTCATGGACGAGCTGAACCAGAGACAGCAAAGCCTCATGGCTTCCCTCCCTCAAACTCATGTGCACTTACATCTTTAAGGTCACACTCCTTCAACTTGACTCAATCTTGTGCCTCATTTTCCTTCCACCTGGCAACAGAACTTAGGACTTAGAGTGTGGAAATAGTGAAAGTGATAGGAGAGGTGGTACATATTTTTCTGCCCATATTGTTCAAGATGTTGTTTAAGTTGATTGAGATACAGCAAATAAGAAAATGAACCAAAATATCTGCTCTCAGAGTCACATCAAGAAGGAGGTGCAGCTGAAAGCTCTGGGAGATGGTCCTTCCCATGTCCTTTCAATTGAGGTCTCAGGCATGATCAGAATCACTGTATTGCAAGACTGGAACCCATGCACACATTTGCTGTATGCATGGGACAACTGAAGGATGAAGAGGTTGGTATAAGAATCACTCTTAGGTCCATTTGTGACCACAGAGCTCAGTGAACAGACACTTCACAGATCTCCCAGATGAGGAGTGTAGTTGTTGTAAACATAGTGTGGAAAAGTCACTAAAAAAGAAGGATTGAGTCCCTCAGCAAACAATGTCCCCAAAAGGAGAATGTGATTAATCTGATGTTCAGAATTATAGCATTGTACCATTCAACATGTCCAGATTTCAAGAATATTTTCTTAGCATACATAGTAACAAATACACTTAACCCATTCACTGAGAAAGAAAAAAATCCACTGAAAATATTCCAGGAGAAGCACATAAGTTGGATATTATACACCAAACATTAAATTAAACCATTAAGTATGCTTAAATTGCTAAAAGAATACATGGAAAATCCCCAAAGGATATTAGAGGGATAGTGTCCAAGAAGAAATCCCATATAGCCAAGAAATAAGTTTTGAAAACTTCCAAATAAAAACAAAGATATGAATAATTCCTTTCAAGGAACTCAATGAATTCAAAAAATGTTTCAGTGAATATTTAAGTGGAAATAATAGGTGAATTAAGTTTCAAAATAAATTTTATTTTTTTAATGTTCTATAACATTGTTATTTCAGTATGTAATGCATATTTAGAATGGGAGTATTTTTCTATCTTCTATGAAGTCTTTGACCTCTAGAGTGTATTTCACACCTACAGTACTTCTGTATCTGGATCACGAACATCATGGGTTCAGCAGCTACCTATGTTGGTCAGATCAGGTCTAGAGGGAAGATGTTCTGTTTGGGTAATCGCACCTGTAGTATATGCTTCTAGCCACATGGAGGCGGCAGAGTGTCTCATATACAAAAAGGCTTCATGAGAAAGAATCCCTTCTCCACCTTCAACTCTTACCAGAGGAAGCAGAAGTGAGATATACAGAGATGATTGTCTAAAATATGGGGGCGAGGATTCTTTCCTTTTCAAAGACATTAAGTTTTGCCACAGTTTGAACTAGAAATCTGAGCCATTAAATGATTTTTCTAATGGTCAGTGGAATGTATGTTAATAGC